TGGATCGCAGAGAGACACGGGATTGGCTGAGGCCAGGTGGTCCAACATGTCTGCGCCCTAATCCGACGCCACACCACACCTCACCACAGTAGTCTTTGTTGTGTTTAGAGATTACCGTTAAATATCGATTTTAAGTGTTACGGTGAAAATGCTAATGATTAAAACGGTAAATATGTTGCTTTCAATTTTCACAGTTAAATTTAGAATTTTCGGTGGATTGACTACGAACAACCTCTGTGAAAGTCCGGTCATATATTTAGAAATGTTGGCAAGCACCTTGAAGTCATTATAACAAATTATCAAGGTCTGCATTATACAGGCAATTTGTGGTTGCTATCCAACTGACTTTCGTGACTTGGTATCCAAACAGGTTCAAAACCAGTTCTTTTTTTCGTTGGCAATTCTAAGTTTAAATATTTCAACATATGATACAAGAAATTTCTCTATAGAGGAAAAACCTATTCCGACGCAAACAGCGTCTTTAACAAAGATAACTGAAATTCTTTCCAAATTGCGCTGAAAATAGTCTTATCCATTTTATTTATTCTATTGTCGCAGTTTTGATGAGCGAAAAGTTGATGCTCTTAGTGACGTTCTGTGTAATCCTGATCATTAACCATGGCGAAAGGGAAGCAGGAATCTAGCTCGGTTTTTAGTCATATAAGAGTTATAGTAGACGCCGGGGCATAATTAGACGTTATCGATGGTAATCAAGAAATACCTATCAAAATAGTTAGGTTATTTACCTTGGCAGAGTGCTTATCGTAAAAATAAAAGGCACAGATTATTTAGGAACTTCCAATTATGCATCTTAGCTACGTGGATTTATCTAAGTTCTATTACTATCTGTACTCTTTAATTCTTACATGTAATTGCTAATATTTTTATATACAAGTAACTTTTAGATCATTTAACTTCACAAAAGATAAAAGTACTTCTACACTGGTAGAAAAGGTTATATTGAATTGAAGCCTGCTACGTTGTGTGGTATCATGCCATAGGATTGGTCTTTGGAAAAAGGTCCGCCTAAATGTCAATTTTTACACTTCAAAACACTGTCAAAAACCTGATTACATTTCGAGATATTTGCAAGATCGAAATTGTACACCACCGATTGCAGCAATAAATGATTATAGAATGTATTAACACCAAACATCAATCATCCATTTCTTTTTGACCACCTAAATATGTCTATGACTCATCCCATGCTATAAAATCGCAATTGATAGCCATGTCAATAGTCTAAGACCATTATTTAATACGGAGCCAATAGTCATATAATTACTTGAGATTATTTCCATATGCAACAAAAAAAACAAGTTTTAAAAGTTATGACAATATATGCTGCAACCTATAGCTATTGATCAAAGTAACCGGAAATACAACTAAGCATGCACATGTCTACATTCAGGGTAAATTGATATGGTGTTAAAAGAGGTTAGGCAAAATTCTTTGTGTAAAATTCAGACAACTGCAAATAAAGGCAATAAGTTTATTTAAATTAACTCGTGATTTCTGGCATTGGCTGTATTCTATAACTTTCTTTTTGTTCCTTTACTTACTGTAACCGGTAAATTGAATCTCAAAAATTCTGGGTACAAATTATTTAGTTGTACCAAGTCACGTGTAAAAAGGTTGTGGTAACAAATGCAGATATTAGTAAACTAAAATGTAATGCTTCAAATTCACTATTAAGAAACCATAAAGTTATTGCAATAGGATAAGTACCACCAATATTTTCTTTTTCGTAAATTGAAACAATTCCTAGCAGAACAACACTTTTAGTCTCTTAGTTATGTATAAATGCCAACGCAAAGCAAAAACTATAGTCAAAGGGTTTCTATACTTTGGCTTCAGGTTTCTCAGAATGACTTCAATCGTTTGGAATAAACCAAAATCCATTAAATAGTAGTTTTGCTAGAGTCTAAAAAGCACTTTTTATTTGTTTGCATACCATCCTTAAAAAATTTTAAATAGACTAGTCAAAAGTAAAAAGTCATATTTGGCTTATTTTGGTCCTACGTGCATGGAAAATTGTTTAAAATAGTAGGCCTGAAATGTTTAACCTTGGCACTTTTTGGGATATAAAAGCTTTGTTTGTTTGCCTGGTGCCGTCGTCCTTCAAGTTTGGGTAGTGCGAAGATGGTGGGTTCGCTGTTATTTCCTAATACTTTTCTTAGCCTGACGCTCTCAAAGTTCTTATTACCGGTGCCGCTGGGCAAATTGCTTACAACCTTTCGAACATGGTTGCCAATGGTAATCTGTTCGGCAAGGATCAGAAGGTGATTCTACATCTTCTTGACATTCCCGCTGCTGCCACTGCTCTGCGTGGTGTTGTCATGGAATTGGAAGACTGTGCTTTCCCTGTTTTGGAGAAAATCGTTGCTACCTCTGACCTGAAGGAGGCCTTCGAGGGCATTGATGTTGCCTTACTGGTTGGCGCCATGCCTCGCAAGCAGGGTATGGAGCGCAGGGATCTACTCTCAGCTAACGTGTCAATTTTCAAAGAACAGGGCGAGGCTCTTGAAAAATACGCCAAAAAGTCTGTTAAGGTTCTCGTTGTTGGCAACCCTGCCAATACTAATTGCCTCATCATGAGTAAATATGCCCCGTCTATTCCAAAAGAGCACTTCACCGCTCTCTCCCGTCTTGATCACAACCGTGCTTTGTACCAGGTATGTGGTCTTGCTTGTTTTTTGTCGTTAGCCTTTTTTGGTGTCAGAAGTTAAGATTGATCGTCATCTTTAGGTCGCTGCCAAGTCCGGTGTCAATGTCGGTCACGTTAAGAACGTCGTCATCTGGGGCAACCACAGCAACACGCAATTCCCTGACCTCTCTCACGCCACAGTTTGCAAGGGTGGGAAGCAGCACTCCGCGAAAGAGCTTATTAATGATGATGATTGGGTGAAGAACCACTTCACCCCCTGCGTTCAGAAGCGCGGGGCTGCTGTCATTGAGGCTCGCAAGCTAAGCAGTGCTGCTTCTGCTGCCAAGGCAATTGTAGACCAGATGCACGATTGGTGGTTTGGCACGAAGGAAGGCGAGTGGGTCTCCATGTCTGTTTACAGCAACGGCGAGTACGGCGCCCCCAAAGACGTGTACTTCAGCCTCCCCGTGACCATAAAGAACGGCAACTACAAGGTTGTTGAGGGCCTAACAATTGATGCGTGTGGCAAGTGTCTCTTCGACATTACTGCCAAGGAGCTCGTTGACGAGAGGGAGACTGCCCTTGCATGCTTCAAGTAAACTTGCAGGTGTTCTGTGTTGATTTAATTATGTAGTTGAATAAAGTCTTAACATTTTAGTAGTTGTTGTTCTGACGCGTGGTAAAGCTGGCCATTGGTATCAAACAAATTTGACGAATTTGTCGATGGCTGTCGTTTCAGACTATGCGCAGATCGTAGCTGGAAGAACTTGGACCGTGGCTTTAAACTTGGCAATATCTGTCCGCTGCCTTTCTAATGACCGCCTGTTAAAGCGCGTGTTGTTTTAGCATATCTTAGGCCGAGGTCAGATTGTGGTTCTCCTGTTAGCGCTTCAAGAAGGTGGGTTTGGGATTTGAGCGTAATTCCTGGTGATGCGTTCTCTCCATTTCATTAATCTAATCACTAAGTTTAGTTAACCGGTTAGAGCAGGCCAGCATCGTTCGTATTGACGATCGTGGGTATCGCTCTTAATTGAGCTACCAAGATTCATAACCGGAGCGTGTCTATAGCCTCACTGACCTGAGCTTGCACATCGTGCAGCATCACCATTAAATCACCATTTAAAGCCGAGCATTTGAGCAACCGCGTTATTCACATCCAGTCTTACAAATTTGAAGGGTGGATTTAATGCAACGCCCGTCAACTCGGTTCGTTTCTGCGTAGATTTACGGTGTTGCAACGAAGGTTGCAAGGACGAGGAGGTGTTGTGGGCCGAAAATCCGAAACTCATTTCACACTGGTGTGGCTGGGGCGTGATATGTCCTTGTGAGAAAACGATGCTCATTCAGCGCGGAACTCCTTTTGAGAAAAATAACCCGTCTGGGTGTGTTTGCATGTGCTCTGAAATGCATATTTCTCGGACTACGCCCCAACTGGACCCTCCTGTTCTCTCCTTGGCCTTCTAGGCTCTTGAGTTTATGAAAATCAACGTCTCATTTGGAGCAAGGCGCGTGGAATCTACCAATTGGACCCCAACGTCACCTAAATTTTCCTAGAATTATGGAACTTGGCAAATGGTTTAAATCCGAGGTTGTGTCCACTAAGGAGTTTGAAATGAAACCCCAAAACCTATGCCCCCAGACTCATCAGAATGATGGCGTTTGAGGTGCTTCTCAAAAAATAGCTTACGTTTAGTTGATCACGATTTTCTAGACGATTTCAACTTCCGCAAATTCCGAGCACGTTCGTGAAAGTGAAACTAATCGTAATTCAGCAGATGCCGACACGACCTTGATACGAATCAGAAGGACGCCTCGGCACGTAATTCATTTGTCTATTGTACTTTTAATTTAGAAAAAAATTCGGAGTGGGACTGCATCGCGAATCAGCTGATTCAATCCACAACTGAACCTACATGACTTCTAGCAAGATTAAATGCACATGTCGCTGAATTGGTGTCTGTCGAAATCATGAGCACAAACTTCTGAGAGGTTGGCACTGCAAGAAAACGCTTTATTTGCCACGCCCTAGCCATGATGAATGTTGTTAGTGTGCGTGAGTAGATATACACAACGAGTTTTTAAACTCCTACTTGTTGCAACAGAATTTGCTATTTTATTGCCTGTGGAAATAAAAAATTTTGCCAAAAAAATCGACTACGTTCGCCACATAGTTGGATTTTGTACGGGAAACAGAAGCTTTATCAATTCGCCGACCCAAAGAACCATTAAGTTCAGTGGTAGGCTGGAAAAATTATTAGCCCCTGAATGAAAGTTAATCAGTCTCCGTGTATCGAAAGCGTTTTGCTTATAATTAAGCAACAGAGTGACCTATGGGTTTCTCGCATCTTCCGCCTCGTTTTTCGCATCGTGGCACCAAATGCAAAGTCCGAAATTTGGGGCTGAATTAGTGCTACCCACTGCAAACAAATCGATTTCTCATTGGCTCAAAAGTCGCCAGGTAACTTAAACAATGAGGTCAGTAAAACGAAATTTTAATCGACACACAAATACAACGGTAGTTGCATTTTTTAAAGCCGGATTAATCCAATACGAGTTTATGAAAAGAAACAACGCGAGACTACACCGTTAATCCCGGCTAATACTGATTACTTCCTTTTTCGTATCTTGGTCTAAGAGTGACGCGCGTAGACGCTCGCTTATGCGCGCAAACTGCCAAAAATCGATAAGCAAGCGCGCACCACCGCTGGCCTGGGGTAGCGTGTGCGCCAGCCGAACGCCTGACCAGCCAATTCGCGCACAGGCTTGCAACGCGAGTCACGTTTGCGGCATAACAACTAGCAGCGAATTAGACAGTCATAGGTAGCCAGCGTCCTCCATGTATTTTGGGTGTATCTAAACTCTACATAAAGATTTGCTAATCACGATAAAAGACACTCGTTTCTCATTATTTGCCTCAGGGATCCAAAGTCTAACCTAAGTTAATTTCACTCCCTCCACGCTCTCCTCAGGCACCTATCTTCTTTGAAAAGACTTCCACCATAAGTAATTTCGCTTGCGTGTGGATTAGCGAAAACATTGGGGGGACGTGTGCATCCCTCAATAGCCTGTGTCGTGTTACTTTCAGCCTCAGGGAGGGGGAACGCTGCTGCCAGTCTACGACACTCAATAGGGAACTTAATGTTGCGCCTTTGTCCAGCCGACTGCATGCTGATTGGTCAACGAACTCCCAATCAGATTGGCAGACGAGCTCATCTAGTGTTTGAACACTTCATGGATTGTGCGTGCGTGAAGGATTTAAACCACCTTAAGATACTGTGAAAACCAATCCGGACGAGGCAAAGGGGGGGGAACACGGACGCTAGTGCGTGCGTACACCACAGGCTTGGGGCGAACAGGACTGCCGATTAGCGTCTGGTTATGCGTAAATGATTTAAAGCGTAAGCCAGAACGGACAACGCTATGGACACGTCTAGTATTTTGTTAGCAGCCCTAAAACCCCCACATTTTCGTTATTTTGGAAGCCAAAGATGGTGATAACATGTTTAGTCTTAATCTCTTCCGAACAATATGACCCTGAATATCGAGTTAGGTAATTGGCTGCGCCATTGCGCCCAAGTCCTACAGAGACCGCTTTGCATATATGCGTTCATCAAGGGGTTCTGAACCGCCGCCAAATCGTGCACGAGTGTATGTAACCGAAACGCCACCGAAACAGGCATAAAATACGCACTAGTCCAATAAACAACCCGAGTCACTCTCGTTTTCGGCCTTCTTACACAACTTGAGGTCTAAAAGCGTCGTATTGGAAGTTACAATAAACTCGAGTCCACATTAGAGCACTAACATTGCCACCACCAAATTGGATTTGAGAATTCTTCACTTATCCAGAATTATTTATTATCTATCTTCTCCAACTAGAATACCACCTCAAGATCGTTCAAATCCTTCAGTCCAATTGGTCGCTAACAAGACTGAATTCATATCGTGTTGTGATTGGTCAAACATCAACTCCATACCGGGTGTGCTTATCGAGCAAATTCTGAAGTCACCTACATGCGGTCGAAGAGACAACAATCAAAAGTACACTGCTACGACCAAAAAAGGCTTACTTTTGGTTGGATTCAATTCTTCTGACAATTCAAACAACCCCAATTGATCGAAATCAAATCCACACGCATGCTGCTATCTGGTTGGCTACTCGTTGGTGGCTATTCAGCCATTGGCTAATGGAGGTCTACAATGGACGGCTTTGTCCCATTCTTTCACATTGTTCCAAATTACTTAATTAGCTTTGCAGGACACCTGAAGGTGTTGTTGATAAACGTGTTTTGGGCCCAATTATGCTTCTCTGGTATACGCGATGAAGCTGTGGTGGGCCGACAGTTACCGCGCGTGAGTTGTGCGTGTATGATGGCCCGAGTGTACCAATGACTCATCCCTTTTGTTATTGGTTTCTGTCATTATTCAATTGCTACGCACGCGTACTCATACGCACACAAAGCCACTCGGCTGGTGCGACACCAAGACACGGTCGTGTCCACTGTCGCCCTCATGTTCCACGCTTCTCGGGTTGCTACGGGCTGTCAACTAGATGGTTGTAAGGTAGTCCTTAATTTCTAGCCACTACAAGCTAAAAGACCGGAGAGGACGTTGACACAACCGTTTACTTCAGAGCTCAACCAAGATTGGTATCGTTATGTCCACGTCCTCTCCGGTATTTTTCTTCGTCACGGGTATCAGGGAAGCGCAATCGGGCTGGAGTTAATTCAGCGGCCTTGACATGATTCAAGACCACACACGTACAATCTGATTTGCAAAGATTCAACAAGATTGCCGCTTGTTACGTGAGCAAATAGTAAACAGCAATTAGTAAAACAACGGATAAACAAAGCCAAACGTGCAAATGCTTCAATACTGGTTAATTTCCTGGGTATAATTACTTAGACGGCCGCTAAACCGGCAAGGAACAGCATCTCGGCATTTAACTGGTATTGGAGAACCAATGAAAACACACTTAGTACTAAAGGTTACTGTGATACAGAGGCAAATTTTTCGGATAAGGTGAGTAGCTGAATTGTTATTCTGAGCCAATGAGACAAATTAAAACGTCCTTAGTAGCTTTTGTCTACATGATAAGTAAAGGCAATCAGTGGGCCTCCACAATTAATGGGAGAAACGATTCACAAATGGGTAGTTGTCAGGCGTTTCTGAACCATTTACAGAAGGATCAAATGCAAACATTTTACAGGTATATCAGTTCAAAACACCTACTTTGAGGATTATGTACTTCTGGAGACTAACTCTACCTAAGACAGAACAGGGAACATACAGGGAGAATCTCAAGGTAGATATCCTTAAAACAAGATCGAAAACATGGCCAATCACAGTTCAGAATGAGACTCAGCCAGATATCTCAATGTGATTTCGACCAATCAGCATTAAGTTCTGTATCGCTTCACTCGGTCGATGTGGTTATACAACCAAAAATTAAGGAAACCATAAGCGTGGCTGAAAAGGAACGCTTCTGAAGGATTCATCCCTATCTGGTAATACAACTAGTTTAATAAAGGGCACAATAAAAAGTGGTTAGGGCCGTCCAGCAAGAAGACTTACCACATCTAATGTGGACAATGAACAGAAAATGCTGGCAGATGATGGGGTTTAAGTCAATTTTGGCTATCATATGGCCTTGTTTACCAAGAAAACAAAACGCAGAGAGGGTAGCAATAGCTGTCCAAATTTTGGGCGACTAAATACGCAACTCCCAACAAAAGCTCAGGCAAAGGATTTTTAGGAACATATCAGCTAAACGAAGGCTTGAATTCGATCACGTTTCTTAGGAATTAACCAAAATAACTGACGAAACAGTACAAGAACAACAAGGGATGTAACATGTTATTTAATTTCTACTTTTCTCCCAACATACTTTTAAACTCGGCATTTTTTTTAATTGGACTTAATTTTTTCATTTTGCTCTAATAACTTGGTCATGTGGCAAAGTTATTTCCAATAGGCGCTTTCTCATTGGTTGAGCCCACTTTGTCCAATCCCGGTGCTAGACTACTTTGATTTGCTAGCCTCTGATGTGATCACCAGGGTCCGTCAGGATTGCTGATCGATAATCCCTAATTGATGTTCAATGCGCCTTGAGAGCAAAGTAAATAAAAACACATCCGTTTAACATGGTCGGATGCTAAAGTCACGAGAACTCTGGTTTGTTTATTCGATTAACTGACTCTTAATTTTAGAAATCAACAATAAGGGCCATTTTCTTGACCAGACGGGGGATTGAATTTTCTCTATGTCTCTGCCTCCAATCAACTAGGACTTTTAACTCACCAATTAGAGAAGCTCAATTACCCTATTGGTCGTTTCATCTGGCTTCCGAGACTTTTGTTTGACTATGTCGGCAACGCTTACATTCTGGTTCCTCGGTTTAAAAACAGAATGTTGATAAAAACCTGGATGTACCTTAGCTGTAATTAATTAATTTAACTTATGAGCTCACACATGACCGGAGCTAGTGAATTCTGAAATCACTCTGATGTTTATTTTAAGGCACTTAACCCAAAGTGTTTGTGCGTGTACACCCTGATACCCGCTGACCCTCTATGCTGACACACAGCACCTGCGATACACAAACAATCGTGGACAAACACAACCAATGACAGCACTGTTGGGTAGACTAGGCAACTGTTTATGCGAAATCGCCTTCGGTGTAGGCAGTCTTTTGTGCGCAATTCGTGGCGTGCCTTGCTGCAACAGCCACTCAAATGCCTTCTCAGCCAATCAAAATCCAGAATGCAAATTCAGCCACGCGCAACCCGCGAAAATAGCACATGACGGCTAAGGCTCCTCGCGTTTCCACGCATTCCTCCGGGTCTAACAACTCAGAAAACCGGTGTTTCGCGTAGATCATAAGACCAGACAACTTGTATGTTCAAGTAGTTAACGCGGGCGGCTGCAATGGCCAATGGGAATCGGCCCTAGTTTGCCGTGTCCACAGAGTCACGTGACATCGGCGTCTTCCCACCGATCGCCGTCTTCTGATTGGTCCACGCGCAAAGCCACTTATTAAACGGGTTTAAGCAGACGCCTCGGCCAGTAACCCGGACCAGTTGCTATGCGCCACAATCAAATTAGTAGCAACCCCGACAGTCAAGATTGGTGATGTGGGTACGAGGAAGCAATTTCAAATAAGAGTGGACTCGCATTGTAGGAATTACTTAATTCAGTTCGGAAACTGTGCTCAAGTTAATTCAACACTACGAGTTCATAGTACACACTACCAACACATCCGGCCTAGGTTTGAATGGGTGGAAGCAGACCCTGCTTCCTGACACATGATTTGCTTGATTATTGATTAATTACGGAGGAAGGGGGCGACCAACTCATGGGCCTGCGTCATTCAGACTTCAGGAAATAACAAGCACACCAACTACTACCCGTGGCAGTTAGATCCGAAAGCTCTGTTTCTAAGTCCGAATGGTGAAACGTTGGCTTTTTTTCAGGGCGGGTGGGATTCGACATAAACCGGGCACCTGAGTTCCATATTCGTGGGGGGCCCGGCGATGCGAACGCACGCTGGACATACCAAGCCAATGGCGAATGCCCGTGTGATTTGCTATTTTAGCCCGATCTGAGAGCCGCTAGGTTCTAAACAACCACTACTAAATGAGCATTGGTTGTTTGGGGGGTTCTTTCGGCTGATTGTGGCGGTGGGCCTCAAGCGATTGGAGGGGGCCTGGTGCTCTGTCATCGGTCTTCTGGCACCAGATGACCCGACGCGCTAGGTTGAAACATTCAGACGCCTGACCTCGAAAAGAAAATCCACCGCTTAGCAGTTTGAGCCGACCTTGATTCCGTCGAAGCCAGTGAGTAAAACGATTGGGCATCTCAATTCTTAAAAACTGATGAAATCGTATCAGTGGAGCGGTAATTTTAAGGCGAGGCGCGACCACTAAGCACGAACTCCGTCGAAGATGACACTACCATCACCATTCCACCCCCAACTGATGCAAACACGACGCGGTGGACACAAGGGCCTAATCATGATGCGTCATTGTGCGCGCGAGGACAAGGACCAATGAAAGACGGGGGTGAGTCACGTGCACCAATCACCATGCAGTATACGTGTTCATACACGTCGGCGCCCAGGGGTGTCGGTATTTCGAAACAGAGAAATCAAGTACCGGAGACACGCCCCAAATGACAACGATTTCACGCAGTTTGCGAGCGGAAAAGGGTTGAATTGTGACAAGAGGAGGTAGCAAAGTACACGATTCACGTCGACAGCGCGTCAGAGTGTTCACCAGTCAAGCAGATGTAGACCCTCCCCCCCCCCAACCCGAAAGCCGGATTCAGCCTCCACCACAAAGCCCGCACGCAAACACACGAATTGGCGCCACCAGTCGAAAATAAACAAACGCCACTTTAGCCACGGATGAAGCGCCGGAATCACCACATCTCACAAAGGATCCACGAACCCCCAAGGGCATGGAAAAAGGGAGTCGATTGTGTGAATTAGCAAAATAGACTTTATAACAAGATAATCAAGAGAGCTTTTCCTGGAACTGCGCAAACACGACGGGGTCGACGTGGCGAGTGAGAAGCCGCAAGGCCAGCTCGTTACCTCCGCCGAGACGGCGTTTCCACTCCTCGAAGAGGCTTCGGAACGACTCCACGGTCTGGGTGGGCGTGGCTACGGCCTTCGGTGGAGTCCAGACGCCTTCGACGACGCTTTCTTCGGCTTCGTAAAGTACCTGTTGAAGTGGAGAGAGAGAGGCGGTTGAGAAGAAGGGTCGACCACCACCACCAGTAGAAGACTCAAAAACGACGCTGGCAAGGGTGTGGCTCCAGGCACGATTCAACAAACGGAGCCCACGACAGAGCAATATGCTGTGCGCATCACAGCAACACGGATTAACCATTAAGGCCCAGACAAACCACAGCATTTGCGCGGATTGGACCAACTCAAAAGGCTACCCGTCTCTCCACAGTGTTGCGCAGCGAACAAAACAGCTGACCAGGCCGTAGGTCTAGGCTGCGAAACTACAGGATGGTGGCAGATTTATCATGAGTGAAATTTAATTTTGGCAAAATTGCACGCATCCATGTTTACACATATTTGGCTGCGTCTTTTTCCTTGGTATACACGAGGCACATATGCATATATTTGCATATGCACAGACGACAGAAAACCCAGCGTCTAAGTGCATCAATACTGTCAAACACCAGTTTCGTAAGTGTCGAGCCAGTTCGCACTTCTTCTAGCGGTTCGTCGGACCAAACTACTCAAATCACACAAGTAGCACCACAACCTGCCTGCACGCATAGGCTAGTAATGGCACCCAGGTAGTCGGTGTGGAGCTTATCACAGAGCGGGAGGTGGTTGAGGCAGAAGAGGGAGGCAGTGGCGAAACACCGTCGGTACAATCGATTGCTGAGGGCGTCGGCGCGGGCCAGGAGGCGCGCCAGGAAGGCCTCGATGGGGGGCGGGCTGCACACGAAGGCTCCACCGCCGCAGGCACCAATGGGCTCATTGGCCAGACGGGCGCACTCCACGCCGAAGTTGACGTCCTTCGTGGGGTCAGTGAGGGTCAGTTGCAGGAGACGAAGTAGGTAGGGCCTGGGGAGAGACGCGAACACAATTGGAGTTGGCACAAAGCACGCACGCACACACACACAGGGAATGTGACCAGTTACCAGTAGTCGAGGGAGCAGGCGAGCTGTGCCAGAATCAGCAGCCGCAATTGGTTCGAATTGAAGGCGGAGTCGTCGTGGACCTCGATTGGAGCCTGGAGGCAGAGACGCGAGTGGAGGAGAAGCAGGCCCGTGGCACTGGGAGAGATCGCGACGCGCTCCGCGATCAACCGACTCATCCACACCGACAGGAGACTCAGTTGTTTCAGTCTAGAGCAAAAAAAAACAGACGGACAGATAGATAGACCAATCAGGCAGGTCCGCGGTTCCACCGCCGTCCAGCACGAAGCACGAGCTTACACGAGGTCGGAGTTCGGGCCGCTGGGCACGACCGCGTCGTTGAATTTGGCGGTCGCAACGTTCTCCATGACCGCCTCGGTGAGGAAAAGGGACCAGAAGGGCTCCGTCCAACGCGACAGGAAGGCCGCGTTGGAGGCCAGACGGAGGCAATGGAGGGCGATATCGAAGTAGAACTTGGAAGGAAACAGGAAGACGGATATTTATCTTGGATTATCCTCACACCTAGGTCTCGTGCGCGTTGACCACCACGCCTCCATCAGTTACCATGAGACCAAAGCTCGCCAAGTTGGAAGCTCAGGTGTGGACAAATCTGGCAGCGATTGGTTCAAATGCTGTAAATTGTCACAACCCAAATCTATTCTGAAAACTACCAAACGATTTGGGTGGGATTCATTTGAATTCTAACACGGAACTGACAACGTGAGTCGAAATTAACGAGTCAGAATCTACAGATAATAGTGCAGACTAACGATTAGTAAACAAAAAGACATTATCGATGACATTACATCTTGTTACCAATTTAAGGTTACCTATTTGCAACGCTTAACGGGAGTGACAAATTTCCAGACATCTTCCTTTTGTTTTACTGGTCCAAATGGCCAGCTGAACGCCGCCATTTCGAATTATCGATCGCCTATTGGCCAGAGCGCATTGGCTGCAAGTAGAGCCCCTACAACCTCTTCGTGCTAAGCCTACAATGATCTGGGTTAGACCAGTGGACTCGATTTCGATTTATGAGGCAATTTAAAAAAAAACAAAGTCGAGAAATGACATGCACGACGAAGCCAATACAGACAACTTCCGCTCACGCTTCGGAGGCAACTGACAAGGTGGCTGCACAGCGCCTCTTTCCAGCAACTTACTTCACTCGATCGTATTTGTTTAAGTCAAAGAGAGCAACGTGTAACAAAACCACGCAGCCAAGGCTTGAGTTTGGTACATTTTGTCAAATCCACACACTACGAGAGATGACGACGCGGCGAAGAACAGAATGGGGTGGCGCTTTCATGCGACACACTATTTAACACACAAGGTTTACAAAAAAGCTACCAGAAACGCACTACAGCCTGCGTTGTAGTTTCTATCTTGCCGTAGAGCGATTTGCGCGGGCTGGGTGGGGGCTGGCCAATCACAGCCTCAAAATCCCCAGTGAGCACGGGCATGAGGTGGTCGAGCGCGGGGGACCACGCGGCGCCGGGACCGGCGACGAGGGCGTGCCACAGGTCGAGGCAGGGCTCCACCAAGACACTCGCGTCCACGTCGCGATCGACGTCCACGCCGATTTCGCCAGTCCGAACAAACCGCATCAAGTCGATGGCCACCACTTCGACGACTTTGTCCCGCAGTCGCGCAGCGAGTCCTGTAGGGTTACACACGGGCACCGATTCTGGACTGGCGTTCAGCCCGCACATCAGGTAGGCAATTAGATCGAGGATGGTGGCACGCACAGCGGTTGATACACTGCCTTAAGTAAAAACAAACAGCTTACTCACTAATTGCTAGTAGTGTGTCGATGTTATTTCTAAAAAAATGGCCTACCGACTTGCCAGAGTCGATCAAGAAGATCGATGACGTGCATAAACAGATCCGGGTGCTCCTCGATGCTGGCGTTGACTAATACGGATCGAACGTGCCCCACGATGAGGATCCGCGTCTCGCTGTCGCGCACATCCTACAACGAGGGATCAACAAATCGAGCACAAACAGCTACAGACCCCTACCGTGGAACGCCGGGACGATTTACTAACAAGAAAGGCACAAAAATCACCACATACCTGAGCAAGAGACCCCAGCGCTTCCGACACCTTGGGCAGAACACTGAGAAGACTGTCCGGTTGGAAGTTGTGGTGCTCCATCAGCCAGTGGAGGCAGTGGGCGGCGGCCAGACGAACACCCAAGGAGTGGACCTTTGAATCGCAGGCGAAACCCAGGAACGGAATTATGCGCCACAAGGCCAGAGTACATCGATCGCGCAGGACACCCTCCGAGTTGCTAGAATAACAGAAAAGAGGGACGGGGGAGGGGGGCTTGACTGCGGATTGGATGAGTCGGCATCGCTCAGGCGACTTCCGATTGGTCCAAACTCGGGGACAAGGTCATGAAGCAACACATGGCGCAAAATGTGGAGCACAATAAGCGAATTAGTAAACGAAAAATGCCGACATCTTCCCTACTTACAAGGCTTACAAGGACATGCACAGCTCTTGATTACACAAGCACCAGATGGCCCAATTCTCGTGTTTCCAGTTAGAACAAGCTAAAAACGAGGTCCAGAATTGGCAAATACTCGTGCGTAACTCGTGGGGAATTGCTAAGCCCGCCTGCTGCGAGGGCAAAATGCCATTGGACAGAAAGGAGTTATACAAAATCCTACTCGCTGGGTTGCTCTTCAGTCACGTAGACGGCCCGACGAACGAGCAGAACGAGCTGTCGACAGTAGAGGGCCAGACTCGCGCACGTATTCACAGGACTTGAGGTGGAGTCCAGTGCGACGAAGCCGTCAATAGTCTCAGCCAACTTGGCTGCGTGGGCAGGCTCGAAGTCACACATGGCCAATTGGGCACAGCGCAGAGCCAGCTCCTTAGCCATGGGGTCTTCGTTGTTGGCGTGATAAGTCTAGAAGTTAGCACGGGTCAGGCGATGCACCTTACTTGAAGCGAAGTCCTGAGAGTATTAAGCAGAGACGCGTGCTTCCCAAGATGCCCAACCACTAGGTGGTACACAGCCTCGGCTGTCTGGCGGAGATGCGGTTGGGGATCGCAACCAATGGAGATGAAGTGCGCGGAGGGGATCACTCCGTCTGAGTCCCATACCTCGACCGCAAACAGGGACTCCTCGTCGCAGCCAACCCCACCGCAAGAATAACTCGACTCGGGATCGGTGAACAAGGCGTCCACCTGGGCTGGCTTCAAAGGCAACCAGTTGATCATAAGCGCGGAGAGAATTTTGAAGGCGTTGGAGGGATACAAGTTTCCACCGCTTTCACTAACCAACCACTCGTGGATCTGCAAGATGGAAGCAAAGTAGCCACAGGTCGTGGGCTAGACGCTGTTAGGATTGGATGGAGCAGGGCCTAGGGCGTGCACACTCCTCTACAGAACCAAAGTCAGGCTAGTATCACCTAGGAAACGACAACGGAAGCTAGAATAACCTGCTGTCGAGCCTCAGGATGGAGGGAAGGAAACCTGGAGGAATCGTCGCATGGGTCTTTGGAGGAAGCCGCAGAAAGAAGGTTGCACATCAGGGCCAGTGTCCATGTTATGGCTTTGGGATCGAGCTGGGTAGACCACACAACGTTGGCGAGAACCTTGAAGGTGTAAAGAGCGTTGGCACTGCGAAGTCCGGTGGGGAGAATGCAAAATAGAGCATGGAGGAGCTTAGCTATCCACTTGTCCTGGGGATTATTGAGGCAGACCAGACGGCTCAGCGCATGGTGGATTAACCGTTCGGTCAAAGCGGCTTGAATGGACAGGATTTCGCGAGAAGTGCTTTGATCCAGCGACGTAATGCAGGTATAGGTTAGGCGCAGGGCCTCTGCCACGTCAGTCGCAAACCAGACGGATATAAACTGAGGAAGGATCGCGGCGACGTGAGCGGCAACCTCGCGTCGACGTGCTGACAGTCTCAAGGCAGCGGCTCGCTTAATACACAGTCGCAGAGGTAGCCGACACTCGGAGAGTAAGGCGGCATTCCACAGATCCTCGGGCCACCTATCACTGCACCATTCGTGGCGAAACACGGAGCTAAAAATCTCCGCCAAAAGGCGATTTGGGGGAGGATTCGTCTGCAAGTGATTAATAAGTGCGACCTTGAGGCCAATTTGCTGGGGTCGGCCGATTTGAGACCAAGAACTGGAGCTGGAGACGGCGTTTTTCAGGTAGACTAGACCGAGGAGGCAGCCGCCTGGTAAGAGAGAAGGTTGAGGCGAGAAGAGACATTTGCAGAGTTCTGTAAGCAAAAAGGGATCATCAGTAAGGAGGGTATCAATCGTGGAAGCTGCCGAATGCAACGAAGTAGAGTCCCCACTCGAAGCAGAATTTAAGATTGCCACAAGGTCCACTTCCCTAAAATCAAAGACAAAACGGCATGAGACTGAGGTAATAATAATTCGATATGAATTGCTTCATTACTGTATCGTTGTTTCGCTAATAGTTCACAAATAATGGATGGGTTTTCTAGTACGTAAGCAGACATAAAATCATTCCTCAAAGTGACTGCAAACGGTCGAAATCTTTCGCTTTAAGATTTTCTAAACTTTCAAGTGAAAACGGCCAGCAAAACGTAAAGCTCAATGAGACTTATTTGTGCCACATGTAATGTCTACGTTAAAATAAACAATAATTTTGTAAAAAATAAGATCAGCACAAAACAAAACTGGGTCAAGGCAGTAGTTAAAGCTACGGAAACGACGCTTGCAGATGATGAATACACGTACACATGACGACGACGACGACTCATCGTAAGAGGGCAAATGATAGAGATATTTGGAGCAGTCACAAGAGAAATAAAGTGTCGATAAATGTTACACCGAAATGAAGCCCCAGTTATAACCGATTGCCGTTCTTGTTTGACAAGTCCATGAATAAAAGTCAATTCGCAGGGAGTTAAACAAAATTCGAATAATCGAACTCAAGAACGATTCGCTAAGGCCTAGGCAGAGTAGTTCTGAGCAATCTAGAGTACAGTTCACCCAGGCACACTACTAACCATCAATGACAAGTAGGGGTGAGGGCTAAAACATCAGGAATAGGGAAAAAGAACGATTTTCATTCAACGGTAAAAGGGGAAAGAGCATTCAGTTGATGTTATTTACCCAACTGCATAATAACACGAAGGACCATTGGCCTGGACAGATAAAAACAAAATTGGGTTAAATCAAGAACGCTTCGCTTAATGTTATTTTCCTGCGTGTTAACTTAATCACTCCCTAATCCTGGTACTAGTGTTGACTAGACTAGCAAACACCAGTGATGCTAACTTTAAGACAACACTTAAAATTGCCGAACAGTGGAAACATCCATTGTAAACTCTACAGTTCAAGGTGACAAGGCGAACGACAAAAAAACAGGGAACCCGTAAGATAGTAACAAAATATTGATTTGCCGACTTTCTTCTAATACTAAAAAGAAAATCGTCATCCAATATGCACGTGCCTGGGGAAAAAAAGAAGGTCCAAATGACTACAATCAGTGAAATGGGTTGCTTTTTTAAAACCAGATGAGACAATGTCAAATTTTTCGAAAGTGCCAAATTGACGGCAAAAGTTGCTAAGCAATACCATAAAACGTCCTATTTGAATCGTTTCCTAACCGATAGGAATGCAAAATAATAGCAATACTGCTAAGAATAACCTTAGGAAAACGGTTTGATTAGGCCAATAAGGATATTTCTAGATTCTACTGTTATTATTCGGTTGAAGTACAAGGTGACAACCTTTGATGTAAATTACGCACCGGAATGTCTGTGGATCCACAAACATGTAGATATTAGCAGTGCCTCTACTTAATAATGCTGGACTTAAAAGTAGAGCTGTTACGGCAGCGGAAACTTTTGGGAGTGACGTAATTCACCCAGATAGCTTTAAACCATCCGCCGCATCAGTGAGGAACTTTAAAAACCACTAGATCGGAAACGATTAATTTAAGGCAAATACAGCTATTCTAAGTACCATTTTTTGTATTCCCCCCTTTATCACAACCACTTGAACGCACTTGCCCTGCTACCTTTAGGCGGGGCGATTATGTTTTAGCGTCTTCGTTTTCATGGTTTTAAAATTAAATTAGCATTTAATAATCAATCAGCAGATTTCAAATGGCCAATAGCTTTTAAAAGTTGCTTAACACGATTTGAACCTGCTTAACAATTATATTTGACTTAAGAGTACGAAATTATTAAATGGCTTGCGTAGCATAACAAATACTTGGAAAGACCACCGCAAGTTCAATTTAGGAATTTTTTCTTATAAAGAGACCACTTAAAACACATTAACATGAATCAACTAATGTTTTTTGTATAAAGGAAACAAAACCTATAGCTGGATTTTATTTTAAAATTTTTGCAATAATAGGTCACATTTGCAGAAAATAAACTTATAATTTTCATTGCCAAAACCCAATTAAAAGGCAGAAATTACATTGAGTTCTTTGAATTATTATAAATGAGGGCTCATACTTTCTACGAGCTTGACTAAATTTTTTTGCCCACTTATAATTCAGTTTTTTTAGGCTATTGCAGTCTTAAAGATCCGAACGCTTAATTTCAATGTTTTAATAATCCGTCCTTTTCTGCCATCCTTGGCCCATTTGAGACGCAAACTGTCATAAGCGTGTTATTACAGTTTGATTAGTCAGAAACTGCCTATGATAGAAAAATTGAGAAATTGACCAATTTTTTAATTACGATATGGGTAAAACGAATTTAACCGGTTTACTAGTAGCGCCAAAAATCAGCCAGTAGCAGTGAATATGAACCCTTCATGCTTCATTTGGTTGGAAATATTCAAAAAAATCCTGCTTCAAATTAGCTGTTCCCCTACTGATCGAGTGAAATTCAAAGTACTCTCAATTATCAATTTATTAAGACATTTTAAATATGATTATCGTGTTAGGTAAAAATCGATTTATTTTCTAGAAACGTAGCCGCTGCTAAATTATCCGATTTCTATTCAGAACAATTATGCACATCAAATTTTCTCAAATATGAGAGTAAATTGCAAGTTCTAGCATTCTTAATATTTATGTCCACCAAATTTAATTTTGTTATCAGTTTTTTAGACATTCAACATTAACTAAGCTTTCAATGGGTTTTTCTAATCTACTCACTCAAAAAATACTAAATTTTCTTCTGGAAAATAAACGACAAAAGAGCAAATGATTCTAGACCATTGTATAATGTCCTTGAGCCATTTGATCATCGTTTCAGTTAGCACCTTTATGTGTGTCATAAATGTTGAAGCGATGATGCTTTGCAGACATTTCTGCGAGGTGTCGTAAGGTGAAATAGGTCGAACTAAGAAGAGAAATTATGTCAAGAATTCAAAGCTGACGGTTGATTAGTTTGTGTTAAAAGTAGGAGTTGAAACATCGCAGAACACTGCAGTTGTTTAGATTCAAAAAAATCTAGTAAAATCAGTCCCCTAAGGTCCTACATTAGGTCTTCTAGGCGGCTTCTGTATGGGTTTTGTGGCCAAAATGAGCCACGCAAGTGTCCAGCGTCGTCCAGTCATTGATCTTCAATTTAAGCAAGTCTTCTCAGATATTCACTCCAACTTTATCCAACCCATCGTCAGATCTCTATCGCAGAATTTCCTCTTGATTTAAAGCAATTTATTTAAATCCATAAAATAGGAATTTCTTCGATTTGCCCGTATAAATGTTGGTTTCAGGGGGCCAGCTTGGATAAAAGGGGTCGAAATCGTGAAAATATTTAAGTGTCTATGATGATGCAAGTGGATACTTTTGGTGAGCATTTGTTGACTCAGTCGCAGTCATCCGTCACTTTCTTGAGTAAATAATATAGTAGAACTGGCAAGATTGTGATATCAAACGGTCATCTGACTCCAGAATCGGCTCCGTAGGAGGTGGAAGGTGAGTACCATCCATTGACGTGAATTTTATTCAAAAGCATGTTGGCATTGCGCTGTCTATGAAAATGCATGCTATGGGTCCAGTGAAGTTTGAGGCTAGTTTGAGTCACAAATCATACCAAGGCTGGTAACGTACTGAAAATTTACCAACCAATTGTTTAAAAGACAATTAAGGATACGGATTGTATTCTCGCTTGTTGCCAGGGGCCCGATGACCACGAACGGTGTTTAGCCCTCTGCCGGTGGAAACGGATTTACTACGTCGATTAAGCCACTAGAGACTGGTCAAGGGAAACACAATTGAGTGCGTCTGCACCAAATACATCCTCACCGTCTACCTAATCACTCTAATTTAACCAAGATAGCGTGGTGAAGCCCCGAGGAACTTGGCAATTAATTTGTCAGCACAAATGATGTTAGCGTGTTGGTCTAAACTGCACACACAGGTACCAGCAGTATTCCGCCTCGTGTCACCTCCCACAAGTGCTCTTATGCCCTCCCACTCCCCCCCCCTTGGGCAGCACGGACATGCGAGAAAAGGGGGGTGGGAAGGTGGGAGGGGGTGCAGGCCGCGCCTCCACTCCTCCTCCGCTTCCTTCCTCGTCCTTCACAGGTCACGCCCAAGTTACGGCTTTTCCCTCTCTGGCATGCACACACGTGCAAGCAGCACTCAATTCCAGTGACGCCCGGTTGTGCGTGCGGACGCGCATGCAATCTACCAACTTATCCCTCCCCCCTCCCTCTATCTTCCTCTCTTGAAAAACCGCAAGATCCCTTTCGGATTGAGATGGCATGCCAATCCAATGTACGTTCAACCTGCAACTCCCATCGGCGCAAACAAGCGCGTCCAATGAGAGGTCAGTTCCCCTGTCTTCCTTGTCAGAATACCCATTAGCCTACTTCAAAGTTAAACGAAAAGGAGATTTAGTTTAGAACTAATATAAACTAAAAATTAGATTGTGATAACTTAAAGTACCCATGGCATTCCTGCAAAAAGCCGCTCAAACGAGTTGCACATCCGTGTGGAAGAAATTATGTTAATTTAATCTGCACAGTATCTACACATGTACTGCGAATATGCTAGTTTCTGCGCATCTGATAATCAGTGGACACTTGCCTGCTTGCCTGCCCGATTGCATCCTTCATCGGTACGTCTGACAAGGCACTTTCCTATAACTTTGCTTTCCTTTATTGTGTGCAGGTAAATTCTACTAATTTGCTAGAAATGTCCAATTACAAGCAATCGGGACACCGCCTTCGGTGTGTCGCGATTTCACTAATTAGACGTTTTTGTGACATTTAGAGGAGTTTTTACCACGTCGGGGTCACCAATTGTTGTGGCCTTGAGCAACACTGAGGCCACCGAGTTAACCCTAACGCGAGTACGCTTCCCTGCTATCCGCGATGCTGTAAAGACCGGACGGGACATGGACACAACTGTTTACTTCGGAGCTCAACCACGTTGGTGTCGTTGAGGGGTATGTGGGGTTAGCGCGTGTGCATTTATGCCTCGGATGTGTGAGTCATAGATGCGCTAACATCGAGACCTAGGTGTGAGGAGAACCCACGATAAATATCCGCGTGAATGAGGGGGGAGTTGAGGATCCACGCGGCTTGCAACATGCTGCGAAAAGGGAAGCCTGTGCCGGAGGCTGGAGCCACCGGATTAAGGAGTGTGGCATAAAGTTTGGAATTGCGTCAACATAAAACGCTTTTGATGGAGATTTTAAACATTGAGCTCAGTGGAGTCAAATAGTCAAACCACGAATTGACGATCCCACGTTTAAAATTATTGGTAGACGGCATGTCTACTCTGCATCGATGAGTAGAACTCGGTGTTGCTAGGTGAATCCACACGGAGGGATGTTGCCCAATTACGAATTCGAGCAACGTAGAGTGGGTGAGTGGCTTCCCAAGTGCGTGGCCTCGTTCCTGGTCATTCGAAAATTTACATTCTGGGAAAATATCACGGTTGGGGTGGAAGAAGGGGAAGGCACATCTGCGGGAAGCGACGAATTGCACGTTTCAGGTTCAATTGGGGACAAGGCGAAACTGCTTACTCATGCCACGGGTTTATGCAGGTTTGTACTGATTGGAGCATATGGCCAAGATGGCTCATCCCCTATCCTCAAACCACGCCATTATTGGATAAGGAGCGTGAAGCTGTCCACTGATTTTTTTTAAAAAACGCCCAACTGCGATGCTTATTGCATTTTAAACCCTGATTTTAAACTGTCAGAAAAGGGGTTGTTTTTCTAAAACCAAAATTCATGTTTTCCTCAAATTTATCGAGTCAGTAGAGTGACGAGTGGAATACCCAACCGAATTGTCGTTATATTCAGCCTTGCATTTAAATAATCGACCCAATTTGACACAAGGAAACGGTTTTGTCACAGTAACATGTGCCTTTACGACATCGATTAAATTAAGGTTCACAAAATCTCACCTAATCCTTGGGACACTGTGTCAGTGGAATAGCTCCTTTTCCTGTTTAAAATTGGTGAAAAAGTAATCGTCGATGTCGTTATCTGTACTGGTTAATTCTTCTGATCTCGAATCCGATGATAAAGCAGCCAGTACGGGGACATCTGGGCCCCTGTACCAAACGTTAACATTTTGCTACATCGGTTTTATGATCGGGAAACTTTCAACATGCCTAGGCATCTTACTAATATGCCGATTGTGTGGTAAAGGAAACCAGGCACGTCGAAAGGCCGGTTTTTTCATTTCTTGAAATTGGAACAGATGTACGCAACTTTCACTATGGCCATTCGACGCATGAGCACTTGCAACACACGATCGCCCAAGCACGCAGGCGGGAAAAAATCGATACAAAGCGACCAATAGGTGGTAAGCAGGCTCACAACGTGCATGGGCGTGGCCACAGGGCCCATATGGCACCATAATTCTCCGTGTTGCCATGGCCGCACGTGGACTTGGAGACAAGCGTGTATGTGCACACAATGATATGATCTAGCATGTGTTGCGCGCACAATTCTGATCTGATAACGAAGCTGCACCAGATTCCCAGCTCACAGAGGAGCCGTAATAAAGCACAGATGGGCCCACGCGTCAACCCGCGTGGTCTCCCCTCTGGTCATGAGTCTAGCCGGCAGAGATGTTTATCAGCTTGATGGACATGCTGGGTGTTTTCGGCCCTTTTAACTCCATTGCGTTGGCAGAGGTGAATTAGCACCGAGCCTTTGTAGGTCCATTAATTTGAGAAGCCTTGAGAGTTAAAAGCATTTCACGGTGTCAGAAAGATTGATGGAACGACTTTTATACCATCAGTTCAGAGAGCAGAGCGTCATGATTCTGTGTCGAGTTTGGGGACATCCTTGTAGGTGGACATTCGATTCCACGACCAGGAAAACCAACTCCTTAGTTGGACGAGATATGCGTTTACGAAGAGAAACGAGACAAGAAGCAACGCCACTCGCGTGCTTGCGTGCCGCGGCGATCGACCCCCGCCTCTTCCACACGCCACATGATAATAAAAAGTTGATGGATGAGCTCACCGTGGAATGGCGCATGGAACAAGGCGTGGTGGTGGTGGTGGGGAAGGGTGTCTGCACCTGTGGCTTGCGTGCAGGAGAGGAAGAAAAAGAAGAATAATACTGGCACCGAGTGTGTTCCTTCCCCCTCCCCCCGCCCGCCCCACCTTCGCCCGTACATAAGTGTGTCTGCGACTTACACCTGGCAATCCACTTCACAAGGGCCACCACGTGCGTGCGGCGCGCTGTCACTGTCTTGCCATCCCATTGCCTGTCATGTGGTGGCGATGCCTTGGCCCACCTCCACCCCCTGCCCGCATAGTTGAGATTTTAAACCATCAGGAAAAACCCTAATAACACCCGAACATGCTACATTAAGCAGCACTCGCCACCCGCAATGTACTTCAAAGGTGTGGTTTTTTTAAAGGAGAAAGTGTTGAAATTAGTCTAGTACCCTCAACACCAGAAAAATTTTGCAGCTTCAGCTGTTGAAGCTAAAAAAATGGCGGAAAAAACAACTATGATTTGGTACTGCTGGTCCCTTCCAATCACATTGCTGCAACCCGCCACGTCAGCAGGACTCAAAGCAATTCGTGGGGGTGATAACTCCCAATTTCCTGTCAAGCCTAAATCAGTCATCTAAGCAGTTGGCGCCAAGTGCAGTAGCACGTTCTGTTCTCTTCCACTGAGGATCATCAGCATGAAGTTTTGAAGGGGCGAATTGAAATGTCGAAAGCAAAACTCAGCAGCATGTGAACGACTCCACCGCGTTTCACCAACGCTTCGAATGATGCAGCCCACAAAGACTTCAGAAAATGGTATTTTGTGAGGTACATTCACAAAGATATGTACACTAACCGACGGTGATTTGTTCTTACAGGCACAAAAGGGAAATACTTAATTGGTTACTTCGTATCCAAGACAATCAAAGTAATCTGTAATATGTGAATGACGATCGTGATGCCTCGCAGATAACAATTTCTCCCTACAATCCAAGAAGCTAAAAGCTAAATCATCCAGTCTGCTTTGGTTAACTTTAGAGACGATTTCGTTAACAACTTCGTTTTGGCTATAATTTATGTGTAGGTCGGGACTAACCGTGAATGTAAAGGCTCATTCTGCGTTCTATTTACTCCTGGAGATGATACAGAATTTGTGATTTTGCTCAGAATAATTTTTCCTCTACTTGAAGAAAAAAAATGAGTTAATTGTCTAATCAAGACTCCATAAAATGTGATTTCCGGTCATCATTTCGTCAATGCAAACCGCCGCTTTGTTTGCAATTCCCCCGCCCTCCTGAGCACACACCCTCCTCTCTCGCGGCTGCAGCCAGCCAATGAGTGCTCGCCAGGCCTCTCCCGTCGTGAGTTGATTGGCGAGAGGCGACTTAAAGGGGCGAAGTCCCGTCTAATCTCCCCTAACGCATTCCCTCTCTCAACCATTTCGCAGCGCACCAACTCCCAATCCATGTCTTCTCTGCTTGCAGGAATGCACTTCGTGGAGTCGAGATTTCTGGATAGCAGTGACGACGGTAGCGCCTGTCTACTGCCAGCTTCGTCGCCTATTAGCGTGAGTTAAGAAACTTTCTTTAAAAAACACATAGCATGCGAGGTCTCGACAACAGGATAACGTTCGGCCACTTTTTGCATGTCTTCTTACCTTCTCTTGCGGTTTCCTGGGTAGTAACGCAGTAAAAATATCTCAACGTATCACCGCCTAGTGGAAACTGATCCGTAGTGCGAGCGTCTACAGACCCTTGGAAACCTCAGTCTGACGTGAAATGAGGAAAAATTTACCTGACTTTTTGTAATCTCTTTCCTCTTCAGTCAATCACAGCGCCACCACAGCTTCCATTCGGACCGATTTCCGTGGCTCCCCTGCCTCCAACTACTTCTCCGACAGCCTTCGACATCGTTCGGCTCTCCGACCAACTCATCAACACCATCTTCCATCAACAATTAACCCAGCCCTTTTGCCTCAGCCATTGTCACCCCTCAACAAACAGCAGTCTTGACAGTTGCCCGTCTGGTGCCGGTTCGTTTAATCAGAGGAACGAGACGTCGTGGGATCTGAAGAAGCGAAATCGTGAAGAGGTAAAGGTGAGAAGTTATAGCCCTCCCACTAAGTAAATTTAACTGATCCACTCATGTCGGAGTAATTCAAGCAACACGCACGGATTCATTAAGTTACATAAACCTGCAGGGGTGTGTTTTCAGGTGATAGGTGCTAATCTGTTTTTAATTGTTAAATTCTGTCCAGGCTAGATCGCTTCATGGTCAATTTGGAGGCCAGTAAGTCCCGCGTTCAGAGTGATTTAAACAAATTTTAAATGAAAATAAGAAACAAAGAATTGAATCTGTATTTTCTAAAGTCTTAAAGTGAACTTTTGGTCATTTTAACATTTCGACAGAACGAAAACATGGGGTCTCCAAGCTACACTGCTTGGCACAATCCATACACCAGCTAAACATGCTTCCCTGTTGTTTGCTAGTCGCAATTTACGTCTGTGGAGACAATAATTTCAAAGAAAAGAGTTTTTTACCGAGCAATATTTTGGGGGTTTGACTTGGGATAAATACCCCTCACAAGTAGCATCACTTTAGCATTTTTTACTCGCAGCTTCAACCCTACGCATGCAGAGACGGAGTGGAATTGTTCAATTGCCCGCTTTGTCCCACGATGGACATTGCTACAAGAGCACTACTCACAACCCACTTACAGCAGCACCAGAACAACCAAAAACGAGACGATGGCAAGCATGTCTGCTGCTTTTGTGCCAGCGAACTCAGTTCAAACAGCTCCCTGGAACGCCATCTCCTAACCCATACAAGTGAGTTGGACGCCCTTATTTAGTAAGTAGTAACTAACCTCGTGACTGCGTGGGAGTCAAGGCGGCAGTACATGGCCATATTTGATAATTTCGTCTGAAGTGAAGGTACGAACACGCGACTCCCAGTAATCGATTGTCTTCTTAAACGTCATATTAGCACTTTAACTTCCTTGGTCTGCTTCTTAATCTGTTAAAATTCCTTGGAACTGAAAGTCCCCGACGCCACGATCCACGTCACAGACCCCAAATCTAAATCACAAGATGTTTTCTACAGAAATCGTTCTTTCTTATGTGCATGTGAACCAACAGACCACAGACCATTCACCTGCAGTCTCTGCGACAAAGCCTTCACTACAAATGGCAACCTCAGTCGACACAGACGCACCTCGCACCAGCTGCTTCCGTTTTCTGCCCCCTCTGAGACGACCCAGGTTCAAGCTGACGAGGATACCAAGTCAAATGTGAAGAAATTCAGCAATCCTCACGCGATCCGAAATATCCTCGGGAAGGTAAACTCTGACAGATATAGTTATCCCCCAGTGTGTATTTGAAAGACTGATTCTACATTGTCTAGTGGCTACAGGTTCCACAGAGTACCGTGGACGCTTGACGGTTATCGTCACAAATAGCTTATTCATGCTGTTCGTCATGACAACCGATTTTTGCATGGCTTGCAGATGCCTGCAAAGCTGTGAAAAATCTGCAGGTGTCAGACGCGAAACCGACGTGTCAATTTATCTCGTTAATGCAAATAGCAGAGTTAAAAATGACGTGATGCGCGACGATGACAGGCGTCGAGGTTTGAGACTAAAAAGGCGAATTTTGCTAAGACGTGAGATGCAGAGTCGGTAGTGGGTAGGTTGAGCACTGTTAACCTGCGTGAGGTGAACTGTATTAACGCATAAGCGATTTGGGATGAACAGTGCTAACCGGAAATCGATAATCCTAACATGAAATCAGTTTGAAGTTGAGCATTAATAGCACGCACTCGTCACGGATGCTTTCAACCCACTCTGCCATTTCCAGATTTCACCTTGTCCATGCTGGTGAGTGGAACCGCTGATGCATTGCCAAACACGTTTGAGAGGAATGGTCAGTGTGACGACTATCTCCCGGTAGATGCGGACTTATTTTGAGGCCTCTGCAGCGTCCAGCTTCATGGTTTTACGTCTCAATGAGAGAAATCGCCCGGCAGTTTTGAACTAAATTAAATTTAGGCACCTAAAGCGCTATTCGCTTAGATGTCTTGTAAGATTAAACTGACGAAAGCATTGCGACTTATTCGAAGAATTTGACTTGATTTTTTTTTCTTAAACATATCTGGTTTTAATAACTTCTCTGTGTTCCTTTTTCCCCTGAAAAATGTTTTTTTGCTAATTATAGGGTCGAATATCGATTCCGTGTTTTAGAGCGATGCTCTATGCCATCAAAAGAAAGCAAAGATCTTTAAAAGGTAAGCAGGTTTTTTAACCTGAAATACTAACGGTTCATACTTAACTAGGAAAGGAATTAGCTTCAAACGATTATATTTCAGCTAGTTATTTATGTTTACTAATCGATAACACTCTCAATCAGAGAGTTTAAACAGGCTTCTTTAGATTTCGGAAGAACAATGAATTCTCCAACATTTCTTAAATGTTATTTCTTCTTTTGGCAAACAGAAATGGGCTGGAAGATTAATCAACCACCATCTGCTCTTCGCGAAATCTTAATTAAGCAAAGAAGACGTTTTCTGCATTACATACGGTTTGTCATTTGATTGTCTGTTAATTGTACAAGCCAATTTCGACAAAGTTTAAACCCTGAGACATTGCGGATCTTTAGGCGTCAGAGAGAACGACGGTTGCACAATTTAGCGGCTCCGTCAGTCGTAGAGAACGAGGGAGAGGTTCTTGACCTCTCCTTGAAGCACGAAGCGCCACTGCAATCGCCACTGCCACAACCTCCACCAGTGCCACCATTACCACAGCAGTTCCCTGACATGCTAGGGCCTCTAGCGATGCTGTGTCAAGCTCCATTTGCATTCCCAGCGGCGTCAGCTATGTTCCAGTTCATGATGCTGAGATCTGCTGCAGTCCCAACACCCTTCTCCTCTTATCCTGCTGTGCCCACACTCCCTTCGCCTCCCCCACCGTCTGCAGTGCCGACGCTGACTCCACCATGCCAACAGACCGCCAATCCCAGACCGGTGGTGTGGAATAGGAAGAAGAATTCATACAAGGATGCGCCGAAACTCATCACGTGCCCAGTGGCAGGATGCAACCAAAAGTTTCCCTGGAACAGTTCACTCAAACGTCACATTCTAACGCACACCCGTGAGTTAGCATTGCCAGTTTTCCTAATCACTGCTTTTCGGAGGATGAATTGGAGGTTGTTTGTGCATAAAACCTTTTTATTGATAGAATAATCACAAAGACACGTGTAGAAATGCAGTAGGCGGCCGTGTTCCAAGTGTGTTGAACCAGTACATCGCACACTGATGAATCACATCATAAGAAGCTCATCTCTCAGAGTAATAAGATCACAAAGTTAGTAGTATGGATTTTGATTTGGTTCCAGGGAGCCAAATAATCAACTGCAACAAAAGAATTGAACCCGATGGCGAAAACTAACAGTTACCATGTTGACCTGACCGCTATTTAAATTCCAAGGCTTTCATTAGGTTCCATTCGGTTCAATTTTTCGCTGTTCCGGGTCCAGATATTCCATGAGCTGCTAGAAAGGTTGTTGTGGACCCCAGCATGTGGTCTTGAACCACACTGAGGCCGCCGAGTTAACTCTGGCGCGAGTAAGCTTCCCTGCTACCCGCACGTGGACACAACAGCTTAATTCAAAACTCAACCGCGTTGAGCTGTGTGTGGGGTTAGCGCGTGTGTACTTATGCCTCGGATGTGTGAGTCATACATGCGCTAACATCGAGACCTTAGTGTGAGGATGATCCAAGATAAATATTCATGCGAATGAGGGGGGAGTTGAGGATCCGCGCTGCTTGCGACATGCTGCGAAAAGGGAACCCTCTGTCGGAGGCTGGAGCGACCGGATTAAGGAGTCTGAATAAACAACAAGGTCTTGAGATCTCGACTGACAAACTCGACCTATCTAGAATATGCCTTCTTTCGCAATAAGCATCGCGAAAGAAGGCCAATGCAGTTGGCCACTTATTATCTTTTGAGTTCCGTCTCGGGGATGTGTGTCGTAGTTTCTATGACCAAGAAGCCTAAATTGGTCATACGAATATCTTCTTATCAACTCATTCTGTTGGTTCATGGTTCACAAGCAATTCAAATCATCAGACTTGCCTTGTCGTTCTAGCTCACAAACCGTTTTCCTGCACACGATGCACCAAAGCCTTCTCTACGAAATCGAACCGCGAGCGACACATGGAACGCGTGCACCGTGTTAGTCTGAAACGCCAGAAGCGGGACCCGTACGGCAGTGCATGTTGTTCAGCCGCCGAGGAGTTCTTGCGGGAAGAAGAGATCGCCTCGATGCAGGGCAACGACAGACAGGCCGATGACATCAGCAATACCCTCCTGAGGTCGGCTGGCAGCCCTCTGGTTGAGCCGAATCCCGAACGCTGCGCCCAATTCACCAACACCAACACCACCACTACCGCCGCCACCATCGACTGCATGTTGACCTCCGCCGCATCCTCCGCCTCCATCTTTTCGAAGGATCGGTCGCCTGCTGTGTGCTCGTTGTGCGGAAAGCAGTTCGCCCTGCAATACAGTCTGCGACGCCATCTCAAAACCCACATGCCGGCCTTTTGATTTTGTTTGCTTTTCAACACCAAATATTGTTTTTGAGAAGAAAGGAAACAGGGGGCCAATGGTTATGTTCCTTGTAAATAAACGTCAATCACTCTATGGACTTTTCAATGACAAGACTTACAAGGGGGAACCCAAGTGTGTCCGTCAGTGCGATGACCTTATAGGTGTGATTCATGGGAGGTGTTATGAGATCAAGCTTGAGGATTTCTAGCCGTTTATGCAACAAATGGTGTGAATTTGAAGGAAATAGGGGAAGAAGTTTGACCTAGTTGTGGATCCCAGTTTGCGTTACTGAACCACGCCGTGCCCACGGACTTCGGTCTGGCCCGATTACGCTACTCTGCTACCTGCGATGAGGTAGAGGACAGGAGAGGACGTGAGCACAACCGCTTGCGTCAAAGCTAAACCAAGGCGGAGTTGATGAGCTTGTACTTGCATAGACAGCTGAAATGTGTGAGTCATAGATTGAGACCACGGGTGTGGGGATAATCCAAGATAAATATTTGTGCGAATAAGGGGTAAGTTGAGGATCTGCGCGGCTGCCAACATGCTGCGAAGTTTTCGATGTGCGTCAGCTAATTTCTGTTTTCATGAAGTCGAAATTCGTCATATCCTCGCCGCTACTGAAATGCACAGAAGTAGCAAGTCAAAATAATATTGGAGTCTTTGGACCATGTGTATTCACAGTAACTGTGATTGCGAAAGTATGAAGAATTATACAAATTCCCCAGTTCATATACACAGATTACAGAGGTCTAACGCGGCGCATTGGTCAACCACACTTTACAAAGCGATTTCTGTTTCGCAAACATCAAATATTCCGTCTCCGAAGTGCTTCACAAACGGTGGTTTTCATTTTCAAGGGATAAACTGCAAAACTTCAAGTGCCATAGCTAGTGACCACGCGAAATGCCTTAACAAATTACTTTCTGATCAGGTGGTACACATGAGTGCAAATTAATGACGGAGAAAGTGGCTTCTTGTCATTATGGCAGGACGATTGGAATTCAACAGGATGGCGGCCGGATTCATCAACATTTTCTGGATCTGAGACGAAACCCAACATTTCACTGCTTTGTCGACGGGTCTCTACCAAGTCATCTACACAAAAGCACCTAAATTTCCAATGAATTGATGTCTATTCAGCAGAGATATGCTCTCTACTTACTAAGTAATCATCATGCAAGTCACAACAGGTTTGGTCATATCTGTGCTCGATTTGCATTTGGTACCGGTGAGCAGACCAATCCCGACAAGCATCTTCCACACCGATTTTGTACTTGCCCGTGATTGCATGCCTCATTGAAGAGCGTTTTGACACGGCTACACGACCAATCAACTCGTCAGAATATTCCCAACAGCATCATTCAACAGCACAGTTGGCATTGAATGATTCATATTCTCCATGCGTTAAGCATGTACACTAATTTAGTACGATCGAAGTACGCAAACTACAATTTTGGTGAACAAAATGTATTGGGAGTTCGTTGCATCGGCAAAATTTCTCCTGTAGAAAACATGATTTATCAACGCCTTTCACACTCAGCACCACCGAGGTACGCAAGTTCTTATTGGGACTTCCACACTGACCAAATTGATTTCATTCACTTCTGCGATTTCCCTGAATCAAAAGAGATTTATCCACGTTTGAGTCGAATTACATGGTGAAAAGTTGAGTTCTGCTGTTGATATTCACACTGGTTAATCCGGTCATTCCAGCCTCCGACACAGGGAGCCCCTATACGCAGCATGTCGTCAGCCGCACTTGTGGACACTTAACTTCGCCTCATTAGCGCTAGCGGTTATCCTGGATTATTCCCACACCCAGGTCTCGATGTTTGCGCATCTGTGACTCACACATCCGAAGTATAATTACACACCCACATGGGCCACACACGACACAACTACAACAAGTTGACTGACCTCTGATGTAAGCTGTTGTGTCCACGTTGTGGCAGCTTGAGACTTAGCACTACCTTGCAACCCTCTGGTTAACAGCCCGTAACTACCCGAGGATAGGTTGAAAAGCGGCGACAGAGAACACGACCGTTTTTTAGAGTCGAACCAGCCAAGTGGCTTTGTGGGCGTATGAGTACGCGTGCGTAACAGGCCAATGCTGACAGAGGCCAATGGCAAAAGGGGTGAGGCATTGGTCCACTCGGGCCCTCATGCACGCACCACTCACGCGAGGTGGCTGCCAGTCCACTACAAATATTCCCCGTCGAGAGTGTTAGCTGTGAAACGGTAAACACTCGACAATAAGTGAACTGAATCAGCAAAGCCGACAACGGGTCTCAGGGGTAGGTCGGATCTATTCCTGGGTTGACTTGGCAAGTGTGATACTAATAAACAGTCGTGTTCTTTGTCGCCTCCTTTCCTCCTTTGCTCGGGTAGTTACGGGCTGTTAACTAGAGGGTTGTAAGGTAGTGCTAAATTCCCTAGCCGCTACAACGTCCTCTGTGGTCTTTACCTCGTTGGCAGAAGCAGGGACGCATAGTCGGGCCAGGTTCAACTCAGTGGCCTCAGTGTGGCTCAAGACCACATGCTGGTTAGTAGGTAGGCAATTAGGGAAGGATGGAGGGATGCATGTTATTCTTCACATGCCAAGGTATTTTCCTGTGCTATACCCTAGCATTCCACCCTTCCATATTCAACCTGTGTTAAATGATTGTGATTTGCATCATCACCTTGTTATACCGTCAATTACTTCGCATTAATGTGTCAATGTGATGAAAGAAACCCACATCCCAGTTGACCACCAGATATTGTGCGTTTGATCACCTAACCACTTAGTGACACTATTCGGTTATTATGACCATTTAAAGTGCGTTCCCTGCTGATTACTGGTACGCCGAACATTAGCGGAAAGTTCGGGCAATTTGAAGTACACAGAGACCTCGATGCAGTTGTGCGACGCAATTGGCAGGTTTGGTGAATTGTGCTAACGAGATTGCACTATTGACGAAACAGAACGAAATGATGCCGTGAGAGTCCTTGGGGGCGTAACAAAGAGGAGTGGAGGAAGTTGGAATGTGTCTCAAAGGCTTGCAGACGCATAATTCGAGAGTGTTGAGCCTCGAGCCAGCACGCTGTCATTCGAGATCTCCATCAACAATTCTGTTCCATTACTTGGGCAGGCGAATTGTCGGTAACATGTTATAGACTGGTTCTGATGTGACAACTGTCCAAGTAGGCTTCGATGCAGTCACTGTCCGTCGGTGAATCCTATATCGATTCTCCATCCCAGAAAATTCAAAATATGATGTAGAATTATGACTCTGGTTACTATGCAAGATCCAACTCCTACCTGGAGGATTTCGAAAATGCCTCGAGAATGATCGGTCGTTGGTGCGTTGCTAAATCGGCAGACGCTATGATGCAGCCTCTACCATGTCGTCGGAACACTTGTTGGCAAATCGTGACTTGTGTTTTGTGCCAACTCTAAGTGATCATGCAATTTACTCCACAAAGGTGTTCACCGAGGCTTTAATCGAATCACACACGTCACTTTCCGGGTGGATCCGTTTGAAAACTGCGTCCAGATGAAGGCTAGAATTAAGCGATGTCACTATATTAGTGTTTTCGATTAGCCTGGACACGCGAGTTGTGTGGCTAACTGCTTGCTTGGTTTGATCTCCCTCCAAGTGGGTTGACCTTGACTCGAGTTGAAACAACGATTTCTAAGCGTAATATTCACTGTTGAATCACTCTGCCATTGTGGAGGAGGTACCTGCGAGCTAAAGCAATCTGGCATCTTAAAGCAGCTTTGATATACATGTTTTCAGCGTCTTAATTCGCATACAAATTAACCGGTGTGTACTTGAGGTTCCAATAGCCAAAAAACATTTTTTTTTAAATTTGTGCTTCGCGATGTTTCATTTCTGCCGTGCAAATACATGCAAATGCTTTGTGTTTTGCACTAAAGTGAATGAGGTAAGACGGAAGAAGCGTGAAGAGAAGACCAAGCGTTAGTAGAAGGCGGTAGACTGCAACTGCCAGCGCAGTCAGTTCTCTTCTGGCAATCAATCAGAATTGTGGGTGATAACGAAGGTGGCAGACTGCAACGCGGCAGGGCAAGTGCCTATGTCAGCTGGTCCACGCAGATGGGTGGTCGAGATAGCCAAGGTGGACGGTGGTGGTTGGTTGCTGTGAATCAGTTGTGTGCTGTTGGCGATGTGAAAGGACGTGGTACACGGCGAATTTGCACCAACTCGCAAACTATTAAAAACGGCCAATTCGCACAAGCGTGCCCAACTGAGCAAACGGCAATATTCCTTTTTACTTCGGTTATAAAATTTCCGACACTCTGCTTTCTGAACCACGCCTAAATGCTTCTTTTCCATGAAGAGTTGACACAAATGCGATGGACGTACCCGATTTGCTAATAGTGCATTG